AAATTTCATAGTGTTTGCAGTAAAATTTGTACTGGCTGAAGGAAGACAGGGGCCCCTTGAGGCTCGGGATCCGGGCGTGGTCATGCCCCCCGGAGCTATAGTACATAAGTCACTAACCGCCATTCCATATTTGTGGTCTAAAATTCCTTAACTTGAATTGTAAGGGCGGGGCGGGCGTGTGAGCGCAGGGCCCCGAAGTTTAGTGTGGTATAGGTGTTCAACTGGTTCTATAAGGTAGATTTCTGGAGACTGTAGAACAACATGGCGGCATCTTTTGTTATGATGGATACAACCAATGAACCACTGGAGGTGAGGCTGGGGAATTTCGTTCTGAGATAGATTACAAATATACCTATAAGTTTAGCACGAGCAATATGGACATATTGTGAACTACTAAATCTCAGTGTGACACCTGAAATTCACATGATGGTGATTATGAAGACAACATGTTGTGACAACATGTAACCTGGGAGATACCAAACTATGTGGTGTTCCCAATCAAGAGACACTAATCAATACATCTGACAAATTTAACATCGATGGAACCCGTAACAACATTGTTAGATAAAAAATTGATTATAAAACAACACGTAACAGATAGAAGTCAAAACGTAATATTAATAAGCAACATTTTCACGTTGCAGGTATACACAAAATATAGGAAGAACGACTCCCATGGCGGAAGATTGATATAATAGCCGAGTTTGAAATACGACGTATAAGATGATAAATCTTAACAAAATTTTAATATATAAATTAAATTAAATTTTATTGTAGTACATGACGAATATACATTTTAAATCATTTTATAAACGACACATGATGGCGAGCAGTGCAATAGTTTAACGTAAATAACACACCTGAGGATGGCACAGTGATGCCGAAACATGTAGTGAAGTGACATGTGAGACTGTGTGCACTACAAGACGGTTATAGTTCTTGTTAGGGTCGTCATATACAGGATCTACTGAAGCACTCGATCGAAAGCAGATAAGTTCTTCCCAGAGCTTCTTATTATAATTCGCACTACGTNAATCTGCAAGCGACAACACCGTGAGAAACGGTAAAGCAGACTGTGGTTAACACCACATATACACGGTGGCAAATCCCAGAAGACTGCTTTCTTCATAGTCACCGCCGTGAAAGCCTCAAATCTTACATCGTCATATACTTGTTTGTGGTAATATGTACCTGGCCGATCACAGTGGCCGCGCGGTCTGAAGCATGAACCACCATCGCCCACTGGAACACTGGAGTCATGGGTTCGAATCCCACTCGAGGCATTGAGGTCTGTGTGCAGGTAGCGGCATTGTGACGGATTGATCCCCCGCCCAAACAGTCCTACCCACTATGTATAGGATTTAGAAGCTGAAATTGTGTCCGAAATCCAAAAGGGCTGTAGATCCATAGCAAAAAAATATGTACCTGTTTTGCTCTAAAGTGAAAGAACTCCAGATTTGGTAGAATGAGCCCATACAATAAAAATCCTTCATTTCTTTCTTCCTCAACTCTTGAGGAGCAGCAAAAATGAATGCTGATATGCTGTTCACAAAATGGCCAGCTATGTCAGGGTTGTTTACATCAGAGACCAAAGTATCAGAGGGTTTTTCTATTGGGATAAGGTTGGGTCAAGGATGGATTTTAAGGGTTGTTTTGCAGCTAGGCGGGCTTTTAAGCCATTCATAATTCACTTTTTGCCATTCCATTTGTTTACCTGTGATGGGCCTGAAGTAAAGGGTTCTTTTTTGGAGGGGGAAAATGTGCAGGGCACGTCAGGTGGTGGGAAATGAGGGCCAGCGTGTAGCTGAGCCACGCTGTTTAGAGCTCTTCTCGGAATTTCTTTAAATCTTGTTGAAACTGACATTCCCACAGCTGTGACTGTTCTGGGATCTAGTGCTGTGTAGACAGGCAGAAGTTTACCGCCGTTTCGGAGGAACTTACTGCCTCAACCTTCAGGGTAGAAGAGTAAGGCAAGCCAGCAATCAGCGAGAAGCATCATATTGGCTCTGCTCGTTGGTTCGTGTAAGCTCTAGCAGTTCAGTTTCGTATCGAAAGCCCTAACAATTTGTTCAATTATTGTATTTCGATTGCTGCAGTTGTCATGTCCGCCATGTTTCCTTCAAAATAAGAAATATCAATACAATCATGCAGGAATTATGGTAGAACGTAGAGGAAAGCAACTTAGCAATTGGGTATAAAGAAAAGCGTGCTGATCTTGGTATTTATTGAATGGGGCCTATTATTTAGTTATATTGCGTTATAAGCACTACATCCAACAGAATGTTTACCAAAACGTGACTAATAACATCATGAGAACCACGTCGGTTTTTCGGATGAAACAGTAAATAATGCCGGCTTACTTGGTACTGCTAGTTCCGGAGTAATTTATCACACAGCCAAACCATCCTCCAGGCGATGAATGGCATACTAAGTTTCATAATGAAATTAATTGCTACTCACACATCGAACATACTAATTATTATAAACACATGAAAGTTAAAAATTCACATAAATATCCTGATGCTCTTTATTATATACATATGCATATAATTTGCTTTAGAGAAAAGAAAATGAAATATAAAACCCTCAAATCGGGTCTTCTTGTTATCCAATGATAATTACGTTTGCCAACAATGCGTTAAATAATTTAGCCTGTCTTTGATCTCAGTATATCCCGATTTAGTCTTTCCACCAACTGAACATGTGAAATCTGACGTATTGAAAATTTACGTGAACAGTATAAAAAGTACTTAAATCACTCGCAATTGAATGAGCATTATAAGATACACCGAGAATCGAACCCCGACTCCTCGGGCGTCCAGCTGTTAGTCTAGCAGCTATACCGACTGATCTATCCAGTCCCGTAGAGTGAAAACAGTAGATAATTTAAACAAGGACAGAAGTAAATAAGTAAAGCTGTCCCTGTGTTTAACTAATTAAGCCATGAAGGAGTATGAGGGAGGGATATATAAATATACGTGTATATTTTCTTGGTCTCGGCACTAGTTGGAGGTGAGTGGTCAACATCACGCCCCGGCCTTTTTACCCCCGGTACCCATTGTATAGGGGGTTAGGTGGACCTCAAATTAAGTCTGGAAGATATGGAGAAAATTCTTGACTCTACCGGGACTCGAATTCCGACCTCTTGGTCGTCCAGCTAGTAGCCAGTCACTATACTGACGTACGCTATTCCGGTTCTAGGCAAACAGTAAAATATTCAAATAATTTTTTTTTAATTGTTTCATTTTTGGTCCGTTACACTATCAATCACAGAGTTAGTAGAAAGTCCGTCGAGTGTAACAATTTGTAGGTCACTTCTTTATCACTTCTGCCTTACATGTTTCGGTTTGCTACAACCATCATCAGAGGCACTTACTACAATTATGAAAACACTGTCGCTGTTTATGATGTTCACAGTTATGTTTGTTGTGTGGACGCTGCTACAATATGTTGACGTGTAAAGGCACAACACTTGCTAGGATAGTTGAGTACACTATCAATTCTCACTTTCCATCCGAAACTGTTTTTAAGTTAAAACGCTAATGTTAAAATATTTAAAATATTTAAAACGTTTGATGAAAAATGCTAGGCTCCTCCTTGTTAATTCATCCCGAAGATTGGAGATGTCAGCTTGAGGTTGTATGGCTTATGGTTAGATGTTTCCTATGTGCTGTGTGTTGTGTACTGCATTTTAGCATTTTACATCAAATGTTTTAAATATTTTAAATATTTTAACATTAGCGTTTTAACTTAAAAACAGTTTCGGATGGAAAGTGAGAATTGATAGTGTACTCAACTATCCTAAGAAGTGTTGTGCTTTTACACGTCAACATATTGTAGCAGTGTCCACACGACAAACATAACTGTGAACATCATAAACAACGACAGTGTTTTCATAATTGTAGTAAGTGCCTCTGATGATGGTTGTAGCAAACCGAAACATGTAAGGCAGAAGTGATAAAGAAGTGACCTACAAATTGTTACACTCGACGGACTTTCTATTAACTTTGTGATTCAAATAATTAACTGCTCTATTGTCGTTAATAACTAAACTGCTGCACTTCGTATAAACGCGATGGGTGCACGAACCCGCTGTCTCGAAAAGCAGCAGTTATGCTAGGCCAAGTCAGTCGAATGGGAGCGTCAAAAGTTCCTACAAACCTATTCATCCTACTTGTCTAGGGCGCCTGAACTTCACCTTTGTAAGGGAATCCAGCATTCACATCTGAAGTACGGAACAAACCGACTTCTGAGAAAACTTTTATACCGTACTGATGTGTGTAGTAAGCGAACGAATTTAAAATTCTAGTTCAAAATTAATTCTGAGGTTTATATATGCGTGTTTTAACTGGTAGTTAATTTCTATAGGTTGGAAAGTTGTAAGAGACTATCCCAAGTGTTATAAAATCAACGTATCTTCAGCAAGTTAGACACGCAAAATAATGTCATTTGAATGGGTTAATTTGATTTGCCAATAGAAATTGTGTGTGCATACACACACACACACACACACGCATCAAGTCTATTAACTCTCGCTTGTTGCATTTTTGTCCACCATAACACTAATCAATCTTCATTTATTATATACAAACACATATCACTACAAATAGACATTTGCGTAACAAATAATTGCAACATATGACGAATAAAGCTGGCAATTCTATAGCGCATCATTCTCCCACAAGCTCATACCGCTTCAAGAACGTCACCATATTAGTTCATAATGAGAAATATTAAAGATCGTAATATTTAAACCAACGGGTTATTTCGTATCGCTTTACACAGATCGTAAATATGAGACAGAGTATTTTCTATCAGAAATTCCAATTCATATATTGAAAGTAAAATTAGTAAAATTGCTGTTAAATTTGGAGCAAAAGTTTTAGCTTGTTAAATTATGTGGTACGCAAGATATGTCTTCATAACGAGAAAAGTACCAGGCCAATTCAATTTTACTAAAATACCATAAACAACTGCAAGTCAAAGCCAATGCAACTTACGATACGATCCCAAGTTGATCACACAGACAAACAGAAATGGTATGTCCACAAGTATGCAAACACTCACGTAAGACCCGTAAGACGCTGCTTCCACTACATGCCTTCGACGGAAACCGACACTGAATGACGAATGTAGCAAAAGATGTCACTCGTGTTGTATTGATACGGCTCTCGAAAAAGGAAGACTGTGATGAATATGATCTGCACTGCGACTTACCGCAGAGGAAAAAGAGACACAGAAGAATGCTGAAACCAGATGCAGACACATGTAAACCCTTCCCTTTAGTGATCTCATGATTCTTATGGGAAAATATAACCTTGATTTTACGTGAATTTCAGACGCGGTTTGGATTGGTAATCGGATATATTGAACACTTACAGAACGTAACTACATATAGCTACGACAGTCTTACTGAGTTACACACACCAAAGATTACTACAGCAAACATAAAGTCCTGAGTCTTCACTAGCCGTTACTTGGTAGTGGCCTCCAACGGCAGACGCTTCCTTTCCTCTGAGTCCCCGAACTCTCTTCGGTCTCAGCTACTATCTGCACACTCATCATAACTGCAACTCGCAAGTGACTCAACACTTTTTTTTGGTTAAATTATTTCTGGCCTTCGCCAGCAGAGTCATTTCTGGCTTCAATCTCTTCAAGATTCATGACTAACATTTTTATTCTCTCCTAGACATGCACGTGTTTCGGAATGGGACCTCCCCTTCGACGAAGGAGGGGTCGGTCTTTCTATGAAGGCGTTACATTTGTTGCTCCGCGGTTTCAGCACGAGCATATCCGCGCTGTCGCGGCGTCCAGGTCACTATGGACTCTGTGCAACCTTTGTTACTACACGATAGTAACATTTATACAAGGTGTACAGAGCGTTTCTGTGAATTTAGGCTTGTGCAGTAGGTTACGCCATAACTTATAACTACACTGAAACTGCAGTTAGTCAGCTGAACGGTCGTAGGCTTCGCCGCGGCCATAATCAAGCCTCTTATACTTCCTATGCATGACTTATCCTTGTCCTATACCATGAACATTCGGATTATTTCTCTCTGTGCCTGAACAATTTATTTATACAGTTATACACGTAAAGAATTCTGAAAGCCACATGCAATTCGGGGACTCAGAGTCAAAATCGAAGTCACTTTTTGACTTAAATAACTCTGAAATTTCTTTGAGAAAGGAAAGAGCCAATAATCTTGATTAGACTGATCGAACATTGTAATGTAAATAATTTATATAGCTAGCCAAGGTGCCATGTTGTATCAAAAACTTTCTCAATATCAAAGAATACAGCACACGTAGACATTATCAAAGAATACAGCACACGTAGACAACGTATAAAACGTCTCTTATATTATTGTGTGTTCTCTCGTTAGTGGGGGATAAACGTGTCCACAGAGCTGTTCCCTAGCAATGGATGCTGTACTGCAGCCTGTTTATGCAGCTCTTACTTGGCAATTGATCTACATGTCACAATACATATGAGATTAAACGATATGTTATGTTATTTATTTATTTTTGTGATTTAACGACGCCTGTTAATATTTCAGGCTATATACCACTAAAATATCAGTGGAGATAGTCAGTGTTCTGGCCAGAATTCGAACTGGTCACCTCTTGAATGAAAATTAGAAGCGTTACCGCTTGGTTAAATTGCTCGGTGAAACGGTACTGAGAACACTATATCTCTAAAAGTTTACAACGTAAGATTAAGGTAAAGCCTTCTCTCGGCCAAAGAAACATGCCATGAAAGTGCACGTGATCATGAGGTAAAGGTCCACGAATTTTGAATCCCCGCACAAGATGGAGAAGAGTACACACATCACACTCCGCCATTTTAATTTTAGTAACACTGACGCGGCTCTGTGAGTCACAGAGCCGGGCTGCATAAAGTGCTGACGAAGAGAAAAATTGTTGCTCCTACAATTCAACCCCAGCTAACTACTTTACGGACTAACCTGCAGAATAAACAAGGAGTTCTGGGAAGAACTTTCATACGACAGGGGCAGCATAGAAAACGACGCTTCCAACAGCTCTTTTATTTCGGGTGTATTTGTTGCCACGTAACATTTTATGGAGCCGTTTTCTAACAACGATATGGGGATGTATGTATAGACACACAGAATAATGGGAGGGATTCATGAAGTAAGCCGTAGAGATGGGCTCAGATGCAATGCTATACATACCACATTTCATAAAGACCTGTATAACCCCTCAAGCCTACTCTCACAAGTAGACTTATATGATCACCATGATGTCTGCGTATCCACTCTATTAAATTTGATCACATAAACCATTCTTTATGAAACTTGGCATATATAGCATGGCACTCGAGCCGATCTGAACGCCGTACTTCATATATTCCTCCCATCAGACTGTATATCCTCCTATTGTTGCTACGTAACCCCTAGGCAAAAATGTTACCGCTTCAACGAATACACATTCAACAATAGAATTGTTGAATGAGTGGTTTTCTGTGGGGTCCGTGTCGTATCAAAGGAAAACAGACGATTAGTTCTTCCCAGAACTACTTGGCTCAAAATAAGGAAAGTAGACTAGAAATAAAAATAGGTTTATGAGATCGCCATGCTGTCTCTGTAGCTGTGAACTCTCCCCCTCCTAAATCTTTTTATGCCTCAACCAAACTTTATGAAACTTGTTCTTTAGAATAAGGAAAGTAGGCCAATAAATATAAAAATATCACGAAAATTACTTTCACACGACGAAAACTATAGAGCTCGGAAGGGTCTAATTTTGATTTCGAAAGCTTTCCAAATTATTACATAATAATTACGAAATATGATGGTGAAATTTTTCTTGTGTTTAATCAATTAAGCACCACTCCATGAAGCTGTATGGGGGAGTAACATTATAGCTCCACCATTCTTCACCTAAGCACTAGATGGGGCTGAATGGTCAGTTTCAAGCCCCTGTCGCTTTACTCCTGGGGAAGCAGCCACGGTACCCGTGGTAGGTAGAAAGCTCTGTAGATGGACCTCGCAGGTTTCGACGCTGTGGAGAGGAGAAATACCTCTTACCTTTACCAGGAACCGACAATTATAGAACATTATATATACGATACTTTTGTAAAGAGTATAGTTTTGAATGAACGTCGGACCTGTGTTCAGTCCTCCGCACTGAGACACCTCTTCCTCTTTGAGACGTTTCTTGTTTTCCTCAGTCTTCTCAGGCAAATCCTATCATTCGACGCGATATGAGTTTATGAAAAATACGCTAAATTTACACATAAAATATGTGTGTATATATATATATATGAAGAAACAGTACTTATCATTGTAAATTTTCTTGGAGGCCATATATTTTCACACAATTTTCATTTTTCCAAGTGTCCCTGCTTCGAGTCCAAAAGTTTCCAAGTGCAAAAAGCGAACTCCGAATAATGGCACAGGAGGTTGGTTTCAAGCAGTACTGAGACTGCTGGACAGTCTGTGTGCTACCACAGTGAAACGGAAACCAATGAGTAACAGTGGCCTAACTTTCATTATAATAAAGATGTTTTTCAATGAGTCTGATCACTTTATTCGGAGTAGATTCTTAAGGAGAAGAAATTTAAAACAGGGAATAAAATTTAGTTTAATTTATCCATCCATGATTTTCATGATGGAATTAGGAGAAGAATTATTTCTTGAAATAGATCCAGTTGTTGTTTAGTTCTAATGCTGTTATAGCTCCCTTCAATTCCAAGGCACTGAAGATCATAATATTCCTAAACAATAATTCTGTAGTTGTTTTTACAGATGTGAACCGTACACTCTTACTTTGATGGGAGAATATATATATATCAAATGTTTAAAAACATGGCGCTCAGAAAAATAGTTGGTGCCGAGAAGGATAAAGTAGGTCCAAGCCAGGAATTTTGAAATTTACGTGTCTACAGGTTATGTAGCGGTTAGTTTCAAGCGAAATCAAGAAGGATGGGCCGTGTATGTGGGTAGGACAGTAGGAAAGAAGAAACGCACATACCGAGAATAAGCTCAGGAGATAATATTAAGATTGATATTATAGAGCTCGAGGGTGATTTTATTTAAATTGGCATATAAAAGAACCAAAAACTGATGCCGGAAGCAGCGTCATCAGCAGCGACTTGAAGCACAAAGCAAATGATGCTCGAGATGGTTCAAGTTCGTATAGCAACAGGCGTGACCAGAGTGGTTTGAACGGCTGTTGTACTGCGATGTGGAAAGCAAATGGAAAAACTACCATATTATCACTTTTCCTCTTTCCAAAAACAGAGACACCATGTATGTGAACCAGAAGACGCAAGAAGATGCTGGATGACCTTGGGGACAGAAGAGGATATTCTCATTTGAAGGAGAAAGCTCTAGATCGCATTAAGTGGAGGAACTGTTTTGGAAGAGACTGTGGACCTGTCTTCTGACAGATTACTGATGAATGAATGAATGAAAGAAGACCAAAATTAGATGGATATTCTTTAAAAAATGCTGGATGACAAAATAATTTTATAAACACAGAGAGTTGGGACCGCCTGGAAACGAAAGGAAGACCAATTTAAGGGAGCAAGGCTGACGACGCACATTGAATGTTGGGAACATCGTGAGAACAATTTTCTTCTTCGAAGAGATATGAAGTCTTACAAATATCTCGGTTCATGCGTTGAACAATATACATTCACGTTTCAGCAGAAGGGGCGGGGAGAAAGTGATATTTGGCTGCTCAGCTATAGCAACGCCGCTTCCCAACATCCAAAAACCCAGAGCTGTAAAAGATTCATGGCAATTGTAGAAACTCTGTAGTTTTGTACTACAAATGGAACGCATATAAAAGAAGAGCAGGACTAACACTTGCACGGATGGCAGTTGTTTGCTCTGTGAAAGCTGAGGTCTTGTTTTTGTTCCTAAGGGTTACTCTTTCTTTACTGTGAGCATGATGGAGAAACACTCCTCACCCCCTAGACCCCAGCTTATTGAACGTTTTTCTAACTGGTCAAAAAATAAGACTTGTTCTAAAAATAACAGCCTCAGGTAAGAGGAAAGTTGTCGACGTTAAGCTGCAGAGGTCTGGGGTCTTGATGGTTATGAAAGATGGGAAAGGAATATTTT